AAAGAGCTCCAACACCAGCGGTGCTCTGCCGCCAAATCCCTACCTCTTTCTCAAGTCATTGATAGAGAGTTCCGGAACGTGTCGGCACCAACGGGGGAGAGAGAAAGAGACACATTTGTTCCCGCTCCTGTGTGACGACGGTTGTGTCGGGCTCATTTAGCCCTGAGTGTGGCACAGGAAGTGGCTAATGGCTGCTGAGGGACGAGCGTCCCATGCGTGTTGAACCCAGAGCCGGGAAACACGGCACTCAACTGCGAGAAACATTCCTGCCCTGCCTGTCACCTTGCCGACTGATCCCGCTCCTGAAATCTGCACGCATTTGAAGTCCGGCCCATCAAATCGGTTTCACATGTCGTCGATTCACTGCAGAGAGATGAATCACTGTTGTTTTGCCAGATTCACTGGATAAAAATTAACGTTGGCCCATGTCAGCCATTTTAAGACAGCATAGTACATATAATGAGTTTATATAACACGACATACAGATGCACTCGTGTACGGCACAAAGCTCCCTCTTCTTCAGCATGAATCAGAGGGGATATTTTTATTATGCCACAGATAGACGGCGAGCAGTTGAACGGTGATTATCCTCTGCACATTCAGGGTAAATTACAGCTAGATGTTTCTCCGCAGAATCTACGAAAAACACGAGGTGTGGAGAGTTCCGGAAAAATCAGCAGCGCAGCTAAATGATGAGGAGACATTTAGGTAAACCAAGGATAAAATAGACCATGTCTATAAATTTTGTGGGATGCCAAAACAAGGGCATTAAGGACCACACAGGCTGTCCTACTTAAAATAATTTTTCCTCTGGTATAAGTTGAGAGCAGTAATTGGAAAGAGAGTATGCAATACTGTGGGGTTTCTGCAGAAAAATCACATACAGAATGACTTTCAGCCAACCGGCCGAAGCCAGACATGTAAAGGTTTAAGGTTCTGTTTTGTTTCCAATAAATTTAATTAAAAATGGCAAAAGCAGGACCGATCACTTTTTGCCAGTCCACTGAAGGCCTAGCACCTGGTCCTAAGTAAACACCGATGTCTATTCTTTGCATTAGAAGGCTCCAGATAATTAAACTTAGTGTTTGGTGTTTGGCTAAGCAGGATTTAGGTTCCTGCCGACCATATTTCTCAAGACAAACGGCTCTTCCCTTGACTTGTTTTACACTGGAACTTCCAGTGCAGAAACAGTGACTGGATTTTTCAGCAATTGGGTAAAAGTTGATTAGGTATCATCTTTTTTCTTCTTACTAGCAACGCAAAAAGCCTTCTCAGACACTGCTGTCCTCTGGATTTATGTATGAAGTCCTCAGATGGAGAAATGCAGGTAATATTTTTTCAACTGGAAAGTACTGAATGAATAGACACTCCACTGCTTCCAGTGAACATCAGGAAAGTGAATTGATTCCGTGCCGCCATACTAATCTTCGCGTTATGGCTGTTCTGCGGTAGCAGGGGGGGAGTGTAACCCCCCCCCGGCCCGACGCGTTTTGACCGACGCTAAAACTGTCGGCTCGCAGGAGTCCTTTGAACCCGACAACAATAATTTGTAGCGCTGAAGACTACGTTCCTCATGCGATGTCTACACCCCAGGTGTCCAGGGGGGGGGGGGGGGGGGGGGGGGGAGGTTCTGCGGGGAAGATTCATTGACTGTAGAAAAGAGAAGGGGGGGGGAGACCCTTAAACATGACTCTGATGAAGATTCATTGGCATGGAGACACTCTACCTTCTTCCTTACATTTTAGGTCGCCTTTCCTTGAACCGTCTTTTGTGTAATAAAACCTCGGTAATATATATGAGGTCTGTAATTGCCTGGCGCGGAGGCCATCTGCTTCCCAGAGGCTGCTCTGGGTTCGGGTCTCTGCATCCTAATGCAACATCAAACCGGAATGTAGGTGCCTTGATTCCGGTAGGCAGCTCTGAAACATTCCCTTAAAAAATACCCCAGTGCCCTCAAACTGGAGAAGTACTGGTATCTGGGTTCTGCTTCCCACACTTGGTACCTGCGGTGTGGTCAAAATGTGGAAGGAATTAGTGCAGCAAAAAGTAAAAGAAGGGAAAAGAAAAGGAGCAAAAAGAAAAGAAGGAAAAACAAGCAAACATTATTTCCTCCAAAGGAGAGGACCCACCCAAAACACCTTAATATATCTTTTCAACATGATGTCACCCTTCTGCCTTTATTGTTGAGTATTACTACGGCAGAAGTATTTAGAGCCCCCCCCCCCTTTTATTTTAGTGTGACCATACATCAACCTGAAATGGCCAACAATACCTGTCTGCTTCCTCAAAGGCAAACAAGTGGGGTCAGAGTGAACGAAAGGGCAGAGGATTTACAGATCTCACTGCACGCTGCGGGGCTGAGTATGACGAACAGAGGCCGGGGCGGCCGGGGGGGGGGGAGCTGTGTCTCCGGGTTTTCTCCAGCACCCCCCCTTCCCCCAAACCTTCAGCCCCAAGGCCATTCGGCTAAGCCTGCACCACTTTGTGCCGCTATTAGGTAGCTGAGGAGGCGGCGGATAAGAGATGTGGGGGAGGCCGTTCCAGAACTTTCCACATGGCAATAAAAGGCTGGCCACTTTACTTACCCGGTTCCTAATGCACGCCAGGTGTGGGAGTATCCTATGGGCTATGTCAGAGCACCGCTACGCTATGCACACGCATGTTAATATGTGTGTGCCGCTCCATCTCTCATGAAAGTATCATCTTAAAAGGCCTCTTGCTTTTTTTAATTCAGAAAAAAAAAAACAGCAGATCGCAGAGTCTTGTTTTGCTGGCGTTTCCAGCCGTGCCGTCCGACCTGTGAGTGGTGCCTTCTGCCTATGTGCCATTTAGGGTTTAACAAGCCACTTTAATTCTCTTCTATTTCAGCAGACATTCCGCTTTAGGGCTTCCCCGAATCGTTCTTTTCCTCGCGTCATTCTGGCCTAAGAAAGCCCCATCGATAAAATTTTTTAAATCTACAAAGAGAACAATCAGACACATTCCTCTGTTCCCTATTAAGTGACACACAAATACATAAGCCTAGTTAGATAGTTAGCTCTGCGAAAGCTTATATTTCAGTATGAAATATAATGATTCAGAAGACTAGGTGTGAGATTAACTCCATCGTAGTTCATATCTCAGATGCAGGAAAATATATAGCTACTGAAAGCTTCGACCAAAGCCTGACATTTACAGATTGGCTAAACGGAATTTGTATTTCCTAGTTTCGTGTGACTGATAGTTGGTGCCCTTTTAATTTTTAGAGTGGGTAGGAAAACCAAACAAAGCTGCCGTATTTATATCAGTCACAGATTATTTGAATAACATGTCTTTGTGAGTAACAAATTGTAAATAAAGATTGTTGGGAATAGATGACTGAGTGATCAGTAGGCCTAACACCATGGAATAATAATAATAAGAAGAAGAAGAAGAAGAAGAAGAAGAAGAAGAAGAAGAAGAATTACAATAACAATAATAATAATAAATAATAATAATAATAATATAGTAGTATTAGTAGTACTACATATAGTTATAAATTTGACAAAACGATTATTCTTCAATTGAAATAATAAGCAGCTGTCGTTATTATGACTATTAAAATTATTGTTGTTGCTGCTGTTGTTGTTATCATCATTTTAATGTGGCTCCCGTAGAAAGTAACTGAAATATACGTGACTTGTAGTCCTGCTTAATATTAGCTTACATTTCTGACAGAGGGCGATTCTCTACGATCTATATTTTTACACATACACGCACGGTTTTCCTTACAAAGCTATTTGACTATATATATTAGAAACGAAACAATCAGTGATCTGCTTAATATTGTATTAACATGGTAAACGAGACGATGTACTGCACCCATATTTTCCACTGAAATCAAACATCCCGAAGGAGGCGCTGTTTCCCCGCTGTAATCGGAGATCTGCGACCCAGCGCTAACATAGCAGGCAAAGCGGCAGATCATATGGTCGTACCATTGCATTCAGAGCGAGTCGTGGAGGTGTGACTATTAGAGAAGGAGGAATGGCAGCTCCCTTAAGCATAACCCCTCCTCCTCACCCCCCGAAATCCTCTCTCATTCTCTTTCCCAATCTTCATTCCTATACGCAGACGGAGCGGGCGAACAACAGCACTAGGCTGCACCTATAATTCGCTCAGGGAATTACAGCCTTTGCGCTACGGCGATCTGCGATATTTTCAAGTATTTGCACAGACGCGTATATGCATGGTGGTATATATGCATGACTGGACTATGGTGTCAATACAGCAAGAAAATAGCACAAAGACATAAACCTACAGACTCCTGGAGTTACCTCCCTAAGCTCTGTGAAAAACAGCTTCTATTGCAAGACCTGCTTAAATGCATCAGTGATTTTGACCGGTGCTGTAGCGGAAAAAAAAAGGGGCAACTTGCCCCGTAGTTGAATGGACAGATGAGAAGTAAACGCCTTGTAGCACTTTGGTTCAGTTGCGATCTGATGGTTTAGGCTCCTCAGATCGGGAAGGTTGTCCGCGTCGGGTGCTCATTTTGTGGCTGTATTTTTTTTTTTTTGGAAGGGGTTTCTCTGGGTGTGGGGGTTCTGAAGCAAGTGTACCCGACTGCGCCAAGATCACAATTCTCGGGGAATTAACCAAGATTCTCCACTGGAACGTATTTTTTTCATGTCCGAAGTCCCTGGTTTATGACAATGGATTATTTGCTGTTTGTGTGCGGCTTCATATTGCCTGCGGTTATAGCCGTTGAAGGTAAGTTAGATCGCGGTCCGCCTCGTAGCCTTACTTTTAATGTGCTTTTTAATTACCAGCTCATAGTCGCTGCCTGCTTACCGATCACTGTGCCGATCAATGTTATGCGCAATTCGGACCGACGCGCTTCGGAGACGCGGCTACGCGAAGCTGAGCGGAGTGGATTCGGCTGAAAACGCGATGTATCGCAGGCACATGGTGTGATCGCTGTGGTCAGTTTGAACATAATTTTTTCTGCTTTTCCCCCCTTCATCTGTCTGGATCCGGGGGACCGAAAGGGATGATCAAATCCTCTAAAATGTCCAGGACTGCGGCTCGATGGGAGCGTCTACACCTGGCTTGGCTTACACCGAAATCCAAACAATAGTTCGCCGGAATATACATCCAGCGATTATACCGCATTTAAATGCCAAAAGACGGCTTTGCATAAGTGCACACTTTCTTTGCCTCTCGCCCCCCCAAAGGAAATTAGCGCAACAAGATCTCTCAATGGGGAGTCGCAGTTAACCGGAGCGCGTCTCCTTTAGCGGGGCGGGCGACGTGATGCACCGGCCGCTCTTTTCCAAGTGAGACGTCTGCTTAACAAACCAGGCTTGTTTTTTCGAATCTTCGCGAAGCACCGGAGCATTAAGACTTCAGGTTTCCTAAAGGTTTCGGAGACCCCGAATATTGCAGCTGTTATCGCTGTTAGTGATCCGCGACCTGCTGTATGCGGGCTGACGGCACTTTGTAACAAATCAAACCAGGCTCTCTTTACGACTTAGATGTATAGATAACCTGTTCTACATACGTATTCCCTTATGTCACTCACCACAAAAGTTGCTTATTTGTAAAACTCGGTGTTTCCCTATATATCAAAAATATTTTCCTGATTTCCAAATTAATCAGGATAATACGGCGGATTGTTGTATGGCAGCATTATATATATATATATATATATATATATATATATATATATATATATATATATATATATATATATGCACACACACTGAGTCCAACGTTAACGTGCTTTTTTGCTCGTAGTGTTATTCAGACTCACTACGTAAATGAATAATTTAGACACAGTCTCAACATGAACGAAGCCAGTGTGTTACAGATGGTAATATTAATGGATATACCGCATACGCTGCTTGTGTAACAAAACTTTTTGAAACCGCAGACTTAAATCAAAGCCTCATCAATTACCAATCACTTGCCATTCTGACTATAATTAGGTTACACAGCAGTGACTTTGAAATAATGCATTTTTAATAAAATTAATAACTTACGGTTTGTGAATATGTAGCAAGGAATTATATGGTGTAAATTTATTGAACGCGTTTCACTTTTAATTACTTACAAAAAAATCCAATTATACCATATGTTCAGAATATCCCTGTTTTTTTTGCGTTTTAGGCTAATTGTAAAAAAAAAAGGCCCCAGTTTCACGGAATATGTACACTTTTCCTCTCAGTCACTCCAGCACGGACTGGATATTGCTTGATATGCACAAAACGACTCAAAATCACTATTCTAATTGCGACAAGTTGATAGGCCAGGATATACTTTAAATTATATCATTTAAACAATGGTGTAAGTCACAAAGGTCGAATCATTACGGTTTGAATATGTTTGTATGATTTATGGCCTGTCCTATGAAGTTCTCAAATAATCCTGCTTTACGGTGTCGTGGGGTCCCTGGAGAGGGCCGGTGAAAGACCAATAATGGATACTGGAGGTCACTGCTGTCCACCTGAATGAATATATAAATACGGTAATAATGTGAATTATGATAAGGATAAGCGCATCTTAGCGACATTACCTAATATATCTGGCGTCGAAATAGGCCCTATATTGTATGGGCACCTCATCTAAGCGTGCATTTTAAAGAAATGAAATTTAGAGCGTTTTTCTATTGATACCCTTTTATAATTATGTTTAACAAAATTACCACATTATGTTTGTTGCGAATCCCACCTAGGCCTATGAAATAGGAAGAACTATCGTCTGTTTAGTGATGAATTTGCAACTCTAAGACAGAATCTGTAGAAAACGGTGATGTAACATTTTGTTGCGAGGCTTGATTGCGGAATAATTATGAACCGAGTTTAAATTGTATACAGATGGTAATGGCTATTTCAGATATATTGCTGTACTGCAATTCGGGCAATCACTTTTACAGTTTACTTAGTGAGCGGTAATTGTCCGGTACTTGTGAGGATGGTAGTTTCGAGTGTTTCCACTTCCCAGCTATACAAGCGAAGCAGTCAATGAGGCCATTTGTCCTGCTGGCCATAAGCTTAGCGTATTCAAACAATAAATATAATGGTAAATAATCTTTTAAAAATGCTTCGTTTAACCAGCTTTTTAATCGACATTTCGACTGTTAAATGGTTGTCCACTTGTATGTTTCTTAGATGAAAATTTTAAGATGTACTTGATATTTTACGGCAATAAAAGTGGATTTCTGATTATGCACGACGAAGCACAAAACAGATGTTGAAATATGAATTAAGCGGAATTATGTTGTCTTCATTTTGAAAACGGTCATCACAGATTTTCGGTGTCTCTCTTCCCAATTTATTGTCAGAATTTGGTGTTTGAAAAGAAAGCAGAAAAACAAAGTGGCAGGCCAGTTTCTTAGTGGATTAATTGTAGGTAGGGTCATGTTTTTAGTTTTCGAATTAATATTGTTTTAATTGTTAGCGCAAATCAACGTTCTTGCTAATAGTCTCAATTAAAAATAATACTTTGTAAGTGGTGTTTACATCACAAAACACAGTGTATTCCAGTTTTCCACCATAAAATTTCTTTAAATTGCCTTGTATATAATTCTCATCTCTTCACAATAAAGGGAAACTAATACAGGTTTATATAACGTTTTTTGTAAAAATCTGAGAAATCTTTAAATCCCTGTATAGTAGAAACATCCATTTGCTAACCCCCATCAGCTGTGTGTAAGCTGTAGTCTTTGTGCTGTTTACGTTTTGCTGAATTCAGTCAGCGGATTAGGAATTTATATATTGTTGTAGTCATACTAAAGGGAAACATTGTTTTTAGCAGAATGTCATTTTTTCATGTCTGTGCAAAGAACAGATCATGGGACACTTTAAACATTTTCCCTTTAAACTCGGTAAACAAATTCAATTGGCAGATTTTTTACTTACTTTCATTCTGGCAACAGCTGATGTTAATCAAAGTTTTTGAAAGAGGCCAAGGACTGACTCGTATATGTAAGTCAAAGTTAAGAACAAACTGTTTTGTAGTGGGATGCGTGTGTGTATGTCATGGTTTCTGGGGATGTATGTTTCTTTGTTGTTTATGCACATTTGCACGCTGGTAAGTCAGCGGTACACATCTCCAGGTTAAGCATTTACGTCTGGAGAACGGCCAGATCTTCTCCAAACCTCTCCCCACTCCTCTGCTCACTCTGCCAGCCGGCGCCATTATTCTTTTCTCGCACCTCTGCTTGCTTTGGATGGAGACGATATTTCCAAGGTCTTGGTTACCTTGAGTGCAGGCTAACCCTTCCATAAATCGACCCTTAGCTCCATGAATAAATGCAGCAGCTGGCTAACAGGGCCGGTCTCAATGTTGGCTTCCATGAAAATCCAAAGGCCATTAAATCCAAAGTGAAATAGTGGTTACAGCAGCACCTGTGTCTCCCTCCGATTGTCTCCTCTCTTTACTGTCACATGGCCCAATGTCACCCATATACCAGCATCCAATAATGGCTCCCTTCACTCAGTGTCTAGAGGGGCTCGTTCTACGCTGGCGTCTGACATAACTGACATTTTTCCCAACGTTAATCTGTTGGTCAAATAAATTGAAAGAGCCCAGTGATGTTACAACATTTGAAAAAGTTTATCACATAATGTGCAGTACTACAGCATTTTTTATAACGTGAAACAGCATTATTATTATTATTATTATTATCATTATTATTATTATTATTGAACAGTTGCTCATTGAATGGAGCCATGGGGGACAGCCATTTTGTTTAGCAGGCTGTCCCCAACTTAAGAGATGTCCCCCGTTAAAGTGACAATGACATTTCTACAGCTTTATGGATTAGTTCTGAGTTGGTCCTGTTTGAAAGAACGTCGTTTTAAAACCGCCCGTCTCTGTGGTATATAGACTGGGGCTTATGCAGCGACCGCATGCGTTTGTGTAAAAAAAAAAAAAATGAGTTACGGGCTTCGTTGCCTTGCTGCCTTAACTTGGATGCAGTTTAATTGCTAAATAAATTTTGATAAATAGGCAGGGTCTCGGGAGTTGCTTACGGGGTCTAACGGTAACTAACTGCGTGTAAAGAAATGATCTTAGAAATTTACATATTTTATTTGAAAGGGGGTAGTAACACAATTATAAACATCATTAAGCCCGTTATTACTTTGATCTAGATAAAATGATTGGCACTGTGTTTGAATTAACAACAAAACGCTGAACGTTTAGGGAAATTGCCCTCCAGAAAGGTGAAGTTCAATTAGTAAAGGTAATGGATGAATAATGAGTCAAGCCCCGGACTATTTTTATGCAGATAAGATCTTGCTGTCTTGTCTAATGTGAGGGCATCCGCAGGGCAGCCGAGGAAACGGCGCGGCTCCGGCGCTCGGAGAGGGACGGGTGGAGGACGCGGCGGGGAAGCCGGTGCAGAAACGGGACAAACGGGACAAACTTCGGGGGTTACTGAGTAATACACGGAGAAAACAGCCCATGAAGTAGAAACATCCGTGCAGATATTTTTAATCTTAACTAATCAGTAATCATTTTATTATAATAATAATAATAATTATTATTATTATTATCATTGTTATTATTATTATTATTATTATTATTATTATTATTATCATAAATTATCTTCCGGAAGTAGTTTTTGTATGAGTAAGGAAGATAAGTTATACAAAAGTTTAATTACTAGGCTATAGGCTATAATAACTATTAAGTTATTTGCTAAACGAAACAATATCACGGATCATGTTGATGTGGTTTTATTTTTATTCCAAGTAGTCTAAAAC